TGGGGTCCCCAGTGAGGCCATTTTGGGGTCCCCAATAAGATCATTATGGTGTTTCCAGTAAGGCAGTTTTGAGGTGTCAGTATGGCCATTATAGGGGTCCCAGTATGGCCACTGTGGGTTTCCCAGTAAGGTCATTGTGGGCTCCCAATAAGGTCACAGAGGGGTCCTCAATAAAACAATTATGGTGGTCCCAGTAAGGCAGTTGTGGGGTCCCAGTAAGCCCATTGGGGTCTGTCTCCCTGTCCTTTCCCCCTCTGGTCCTTTCCCATTTCCTGCTCTCCCTCCCCTCCCAGTCCAGCCTCCATCCCCCTCAGTCCCACAGGATGGGTCAGTCTATCCCCAGGACCTCTATCCGTGGGATTTTCAGGATGGAGGGGTTTTCCAGCTCTGGAGTGACCCACCAGGAAAAATTTAACCCCACAAAACTCCTGCCCTCCTCTGGGGCCACCGGGTGTGGGAGGCCGCGTTCCGGAGCCAGATCCTCCCTGGAGCTCCTTGTCCCTGCACATTCCTGCTCCAGCTGCCTCTTCCCTGCTGATCCCAGCATTTTTCCTGGCCAGCTCATGTCCTCCCTTATCAAATCTGGGGACATTACAAGTTAACGAAGCTTTCAGCTTCCCGTGGTAACCTGGGGACAGGGCTTTGTCACGTCCTTATGGCTTCTTCAGCACAGGGACAGCCCCGGAGGGAAGGGACACGGAATGGGGAAAGGAAAAGGGTGGGAGCAGCAGTGGGAGCAGTGCCTTGGACTGAAACTAGACACAAGGAAGGTTTTTGGGAATCTTGGCTCCAATTTCAGGGTCCAAGTGAGGGGGGGTCAGCACAATAAAAACAGGAGCCCCCAACCACCCTGGCTGCTCCCATGGGCATCCATCCCTCTCCAGGGCTGTCCGAACCCCTGTATCCCATGGGAACAGGGTCTTTGGGAACAGTTGCAGCCACCCCATGGAATATGGGAGACACTTTTCTGAATGAGTGAAGATGTATAAGAAGAATCACCCATCAAGGAATCACCAAAATGGGTAAAAATCCATGAAAAATCCTGAAAATTCAGGAAAAATCCTGAAAATCCTGGAAAAAGAAACCAGTTCCTGGGGTCTTCACCACTTTTCTGGGATCTCCCAGTCAAAATTGAGTGCTTGATCCCATTCCTTACCTTCCTTACCGCCTGTGGAATATGGGAGACGCTTTTCCCAATGAGTTGAAGATGTGTACGAAGAAGAACCCATCAGGGAATCACCAATCTGCGTGAAAAATCCAGGAAAAATCCAGAAAATCCAGGGGAAATCCTGAAAATCCAGGGAAAATGAACCAGTTCCTGGGGTCTTTACCACTTTTCTGGGATCCCCCAGTCCAAAGGGCTTGATCCCATTCCTTGCCTTCCAGCGGAGCGAGGCGCGTTCCCAGCAGGCGCCGTCCTTCTCCGTGGTGGTGGCCATCGACTTCGGCACCACCTCCAGCGGTTACGCCTTCAGCTTCACCAGCGACCCCGAGGCCATCCACATGATGAGGTGAGCACCTGCCAGAGGCCCTGGAGCTGGGAAAGGACTTGCATGGCCCCAAAACTGTCAGAGGTTGGATTAGTGGGAGATGGTTCCTGGCAGCAGTGGGTGGAAGGTGTGAAGTGAGGATGCTCCAAGGGATGGAGCCCTTCTTCTCTGGAGCCAGGCTGGAAGAGCTGGGAATGTTCACCTGGAGAAGGGAAAAATCCAGGGAATTCTCAGAGTCCCTGAAGGGGCTCCAGGAGAGCTGCAGAGGGACTGGGGACAAGGCCTGCAGGGACAGGAGCCAGGGAATGGCTCCCACTGGGAAAGGGGAGATTGGGCTGGGATCTTGGCAAGGAATTGCTGGCTGGGCTGGAATTCCCAGATTTGCTGTGGCTGCCCCTGGATCCCTGGCAGTGGCCAAGGCCAGGCTGGACATTGGGGCTTGGATCAACCTGAGATAGTGGAAAGGATTCCTGCCATGGAAGTAGGTGGTACTCAGCGGTCTTCAAAGTCCCTCCCAACCCAAACCAGTCTGGAATTCCATGAAATTCCTCAGAGGATGGAGAGGGACCACCCCTCCTCCTTTGTCCCCCTTTAAGGTCCTTCACACCATGCCCACAGAAACAAACTAAACCTGACAGGACCCATTCCCTGGAATTTCACCTGCTCCGGCTCCTCTTTGCAGGAAATGGGAAGGGGGGGACCCGGGCGTGGCCAACCAGAAGACCCCCACCAGCCTCCTGCTGACCCCGGAGGGGACATTCCACAGCTTCGGCTACACCGCCCGCGATTACTACCACGACCTGGACCCCGAGGAGGCCCGCGAGTGGTTCTACTTCGAGAAGTTCAAGATGAAGATCCACAGCACCAGCGTGAGTCCCTGCTCCCATCCTGATGTTCCCGGTGTTCCCGGGGGCATCCTGGCCAGGCTGGGAATTGAAATGTTGGGAAAAAAACCCCATTTTAGCCCATTTTAGGGGGTGAATTTGAGGTTCTCCCATCCGAGCTGCTCCAGGGTGGGTGGATGTGGCTGCACAAAGCTTCAGGTTCCTGAGCTCCAGCTGGGGCGCAGAAGGATGAGCAAATTCCCGAGGTTTGGTGACGGATCCACCTCCCAGCCCCTGATGGGATCCATCTGCTGTTCCCGGCAGGATCTGACCATGAAAACCGAGCTGGAAGCTGTCAACGGGAAGAAGATGCCGGCGCTGGAGGTGTTCGCCCACGCGCTGCGCTTCTTCAAGCAGCACGCCGTGCAGGTGGGGCCACCTCCATCCCTCCTCCTCCTCCTTCCCAAATGGAATCCTCTCTGTCCTCTCCATGCCTTCCATGGGAGAGTGGGGAGGCCCTGGAATGGAATTCCCAGATTTGCTGTGGCTGCCCTGTCCCTGGAAGTGTCCAAGACCAGGTTGGACAATGGGGCTTGGAGTGACCTGGGATAGTGGGAGGTGTCCCTGGATGGGATTTAAGGTCCCTCCCAACCCAACCCATTCCGTGAATCACCAGGACCCCCCAGGGGTCACATCCTGCCAGGGGCACCCGAGCTGGGAAAGAACTTTCATGGCCCCAAAATGGTCAGAAGTTGGCTTGGTGGGAGATGGTTCCTGACAGCAGCGGGAGGAATGTGTGGGGTGAGGATATTCCAAGGGATGGAGCGGAGGCAGGCTGGGAGAGCTGGGAATGCTCCTCTGGAGAAGGGAAAAATCCCCAGGTGTCACCTCCTGCTTGTCTCCTGGCAGGAGCTGAAGGACCAGTGCCCGTCCCTGCCTGAGAGCGACGCCATCCGCTGGGTGCTCACCGTGCCGGCCATCTGGAAGCAGCCGGCCAAGCAGTTCATGCGGGAAGCAGCCTACAAGGTGGGGGACACTGGAGGGTGACCACGTGGTGACCCTCACGGGGATTGTGGTGTCCAGGGTATCCCCTTCTCCCCTCTGAATTCCCACTGCCAGAGGGTAGCATTAGGTGGGATATCGGGAGGGAATTCCTGGTTGGGAGGTGGGGAGGGGCTGGGATAGAATTCCCAGAGAAGCTGTGGCTGCCCCTGGATCCCTGGAAGCGTCCAAGGCCAGGTTGGATGAATTTGGATCCACCTGGGATAGTGGGAGCTTTCCCTGCCCATGGATAAGGTGGGAGTAGGATAGGATTTAAGGTTCTTTCCACCCAAACCCAAGGGATTTAAGGTCCTTCCAACCCAAAAGTTGTTGGGTGAGAGGGTGGATAATTTTCCAGGTAGGTGGTTAAGAGGATGATTGGGTGGTTGGTTGAATTTTTCAGTGGTTGGTGGTTGGTTTGGTGCTCAGGGTCATTGCTTGAGCAGTTGTCTGTTTGAGTGGTTAGGTTGTTGGTCGATGTCTCAGTTCAGCAGTTGGTTGGTTGAGTGGTTGGGTGGGTTGTTGGTTCGGAGGTTGGTTAGGTGGCTGCTTGAGCAGTTTGGCCACTGGTTGGGGGATTGGTTTGGTGGTTGGGCCATTGGTTGAGCTGTTGGTTGGTGGGTTGAGCACTTGGTTTGCTCAGGACATTGGTTGGTTCATTGACTGACTGGGTCACTGGTCGAGCGGTTAGATGATTGAGCAGGTGGTTGGTTGTGTGGTCAGGTCGTTGGTTGGGTGTGGGTCAATGGTCAGGTGGTCAGGTCAGCGGTCAGGTGGTTGGTTGTGTGGTTGGTTTGGTGATCAGTTCTTTGGTTGTGTGGTTGGTTGGACAGTTGGTTGGGTGGTGAGGTCATCAGTTGGTTCGGTGACTGGTTGGGTGGTTGGTTTAGTGGTCAAGTCATTTGTTGTGTGGTTGGTTGTGTGGTGAGGTTGTTGGTTGGTTAGGTGGTTGGTTGGATGGTTGTTGGTTGGCTGGTTGTTTTGGGAGTGAAGTCATTGGTTGGTTGGTTGGTTGGCTGGATGGTTGGTTTGGTGGTTAGTTCATTGGTTGTGTGGTTGGTTGGATGGTTAGTTGGGTGGTGAGGTTGTTGGTTGGTTGGGTGGTTGGTTG